TGGAGACAATGGCTGCTTCCGCTGATGTCCTGGCTATGGCCAAAACTGAAGTTGACCTCGCTAGCATCCCGGAGGGCAAGAACGTCGTTATCAAGTGGCGAGGGAAGCCCGTTTTCATTCGACACAGAACCCCAGATGAGATCGAAGAAGCTCGGACTGTTAACTGGAAGGGTTTGCGAGACCCTCAACCTGACGAGGCGCGGGTTAAGAAACCAGAGTGGTTGGTCATGCTTGGCGTTTGCACTCATCTTGGTTGCGTTCCCATTGGCGAGGCGGGCGACTATGGAGGATGGTTCTGCCCATGCCACGGTTCACATTATGATATCTGTGAGTGCTACCAGGGCAACCAAAATGTGTTTGTATCTAATGTTTCATATCTTAGCTGGTCGCGCGCGTAAGGGACCTGCCCCTGTAAGTCTGTTTGCCGATGAGAAATTTTCGACCTGACCTTTTAAATTAGCTTAACTTGGAAATACCTCCCTATGAGCTGAACGAAGCTGATAATAAGCTTGTTATTGGATGACAGTCCATACCGCTGCATTCTTGTAGTAGCTCCTCGTTAGTATACATGGGTAATATTCTTAGATTGCCTTCATAAACGAGTACAGCGCGGAAAAAGAAACAGCCCCGACAAACTGAAGAGCGAGAAAGCTGCAAAGCGGTATCAAGTTAGGGTATATGTGAGAATACATCGTTGCACTTATGACAGGAAATTGGGACGCTGAGAGTACGGCAAAGATGACCCGCGCCTGCCAAAGAAACGTGCAATTCCACCCATCTTACTATCCTTCGCAGGCAATTCATCGCCCTTCAGGACATTGCGAGACGCGCTGCGAGTAATCCTGCCCCATACGCTCGGTGCAGTGGCAGATATCGCTGTACTTGGCATTTCCGTGTGGGGCGAGGATGAAACAAGAGATATTGACATTGAACGCAAGCGCCGACGAATTGGGATTGGGGCGGAAGTGGAGACACGCTGATTTTCCAATGGGATGGCCGGTTGTTGCTCCAATTCCTGCATTTGCGAGGATTTAGATCGTGAAGATTCTGAAGATGCACTTGGCGAAGACGAAAGGGGCGGAAATAATGATCCTTGTATATCTTTTCCCCCTTCATCTCTCAAATCTACAGCGTCCAACAGAGGACCGCTTGTGCCTGGTGGACTCTCTGCGGCTATAGTGACACGTGGGTCAGAAAGGTCTTCCTCCAGTCCATCTTCAGGTGTCACCAGTTCAATTTGTGGGTGAAGATCTTTGTGTGACAAAACGGAACGTTGGAAGGAATCCAATTCAAAACATCCCCTAAGGCTAGGTGAGGACGGGAAGTTCCTTGCACCCTGTGGTACTCTCGAATTGACCGCCCCATTCATGGATGGGGAGATGGACCCGATTGCGGACAAGCTGAAATCCCACGAATCCATTGTACCTTGGCTTGTAAGACTCGGTGGAGATTGGCGTCGCTCCTGACGCACCGCAAGAGGCGGAAGACCAGCCAGGATCGTCCCTATAAGGTACGACTTCTTCTTTGCACTTTTAAAGAATGGCGTCTGCAAGAGCTGCGCAGCTGTGGGTCTGACATAAAGTTTTGATAAGGCGACGCCAGGTGGCTGAGTATTACGCACCGCTTGGCAGGGTCCTTTGTAAGGCAAGCGTCAACAATGTCTTTGAACGTTTGGGAGTACCGGTGAACGCCACTCTCTCGGTCCAGGGTAGGCGGCTTGCCTTGGACACTGTAACGCAGGCAGAATGAATATCGATTGGGGATGAGGACGCAGGAAAGACTCGCATCTGCAACAAAACAGAATGAGGGCTTTCACGCGACCTTGGAGGCCGCCCTTGCGTCAATTCGATACAAGTTATCCCAAACGACCATATGTCGGCTTTGACGTCGTACCGTTTTCCTTCGATAAGCTCCGGAGCCATCCAACACGGCTGTGGCGCCGTTAGGACTTGAAACACGAAGTGAAGGGATCATTCACACCGTCCCAACAAACGACTTCCGCTTTCCCACTTGGGGGCGTGAACGCCCAGTGACTGAATTCAATGGCGCTTGAACACGGTCAGAGTTCTTCGTGCCCCCCTCATAATTTAGGGTGGGCCAGCAAGGAGTGTCTGTCTCTTCTGTGAGAGATGCCGCCACGCCTAGATCACCCAAGAGAACAGTGCCGTCATCGTCGATTAATAAGTTGGCTGCTTTTACGTCGCGATGAATGAAGCCGTTCACATGCAGGTAACTTGAGAATTGACTGATGAGAATCTACAAAGCACGAGATATCATGAACATACTTTAGGCCCTCAAGAGCCTGCTTGAGGATGCATTTGACTACTTCCTCTTCCATGCCACCTGGCCAGCCATAGTGCATGATGTCCGCAGCACTCCCTTTGTTCATGAGACGAAGGGCAATGTGTAATTTGTGGCCGTCCATCCACGAGCCGCGTACACGGAGGACGTTCGGGTGTTTCGAAAGAGACATGAGTTGTGTTTCGCGCTGCAGCAAAGACAGAGGACGAGGAGAGAGGATATCGAGGTCGAGGACCTTAAGAGCACATTGTACCGGACGTTGCGGAGGCGGGGGACGGTAGACAGCGTCATAAACAATGGAAGATGCTCCAAAACCTATAGGTGCGCCGACGCTATAATCCCGAGGGCGGTCGCTGAGGTCCTTGAGGTGAGGTTGAGGGGTCTACGTGGGCAAACTTGAAAGATACCTAAACATCTGCCACTCATCCTGGACAGCACCGATAAACTTCCTAGACAAGCTGGCCATGGCTAGCCCACAAGATGGTGGTGGTAACAAGAGGCAATGCTTTACCTAGAGATAAGGGGATCTTGCAACGAGTCCTGCAGGTAACGAACATATAGGGTCTGGGTGGAGTGGATAATTTCATAAATGGGGAAATCGTTCCTTGGCAGGGCCGGGGACTTGGCCGGGCCCGGAGGACGCCCTAAACGTTGTAACGTTGTCCAATCGGGAGACTACCACTATTAATGACGCATCAAGGAGAGCAACAGAAGTCCATATCTCTCATGCACTATCTCAGTATTGTACTGGTGCTCTAAATTCTAAAACTTGCGACGTTCGATAGATAGATGTTCCAGTGCATCTGCAAGCACTTCTTCCGCCGAGAGTGAGGGACTAACGGGTATCGCGAACTGAGCACCTTTCGAAGTTTCCTCACCACTGGGGATCAAGCTCGCCATAATGCCGGTCCTCTGTGCCCCAGTCGTCTGTCGAGAGAACAACGGAATGAGTTTGCCAACCTTACAAACACCGCACACTGGCAGAGAAGGTCGTCAGTACGCAGAGACGTGGCAATCGTAGTACAAGAACTTACTGCACTCCTCCGGTTTTATGGACTTGGAGTATCTACCGTACCTGAACCAATACCGTCACGCCTTGTCTACCTTTTAAAGATGTTCCACTTACACTTTTGAGCATAGGGTACATCCTATCAGATAGTTATCAGTAACCATCCTCATCCTGACAGAAGGGGATATACACTAACTCCACTGATAAGGGTGCATAATCTGGTAGTTATGACGAGTCTTTCCGTGACAGTCAGTACATCGTCCAGGCGGCGGGCGTAACTCCTCTTACTGAAACTTGGATGCCGGGGTACCTGAGCGTGATTTTGTCCGCCCTCCGGTAAATGTGAGTCACGTTTGCATCGATACGTCGAATCTGAGTCATACCACGACTTAAACAGTTGCCCGTGTCCTTCCCGTGGATTTTTATCGATTACCCAGCATGCCAAGTGGCACATCTCATGAGAAAGAGTATTGCGAATACGTTCTATCGACATGTCTGTAGCTTCGACAGTCTTCCAACACGCTCGACTCACCATCACAGTCCAAAATCTTGGTGGCAAGTTCAATCTTCGTGGTTTGTATACCATCTCGCGAGCTACATTCACAAACGTATTGGTCCATGATTTCCAGAGTCAAACGACACCCACCGGTACCAGCGCGCTCGCCCTGCTGTGGTCAATAACCGTTTGTTCCATTCTAACTTTGTATCCTTAGGAAGTCCATCGCCAAAGACCGTGTGGTTGAGCTCTGCAAACAGATCTGCTGCGTGTTTCTCCCTCCGAAACTGCTCCGCTGCATCTCGCACTTTCTTTGACATTCTTGTTGCTGACTTTTTAACGGAGGTGGGCGCCGTTTTTTTCCACGGGGAGCGTACTGGAACTGGTAAGGTATCACTGTCCCCTTCTGGCGCTGTGGGCAACTCGTGCTCTGTGGTTTTTTTGGTTGGGTAACTCATCCTTTCTGGCCTGCGAGATTCCGGAGAATTGTCACTGAATCCAAATACTCATTGGATCAAGGGTAGTGGATTGGACGGAGGGACACGTACTGGGTGAGAACCACATCGTCATCAGAGCCATCGTCACTCATGTCGGCGTAGAGTGGCATATATTTCCGTGTAGTAGGGCTCGTTCTCCCCGGAGTTTTCGGATGACGTGATCGGGTAGCTATCGGGGATAGCAGGTCAGGAAGCTCCAGAGAGCTGTCGCTGTCTGTCAACTCAATTACATTCCTACACCCCAAACCATCCGTGTTCCTATCGAACAGAAATAGAGTTGTTAGAAACTTGTACACTAGCATAACCGATAGGGCCTCACGCAGTGCATCGAGCACTGTTAAGCGAGGAAAATGAGGCTCATAATGACGCTGATGGTTATTTCAAGGACGTACGCATCAGAATCTGAGTCCGACGAGATCTCTATGACTTCTATAGGTGGGTTCACTGTACATGCCCTAGCACGCACGTAGAGACGGGTTAGCCGGAGTGTCACGATGATAATGTCCAACTTGCCGTGGATCCTCTTCATCTTTTGAAAAGCTCGCCTTGCTTGAGTTCCCTGGCATTCGAACCGTGTTTTGGTTATGTCCGAGCCTTTCTCCGAGATCGATAGCGCGTGCCGCGTTTGGTCCCGTGACTCAAATTCAACCTTGGAAGTTTGGTGGACTCGTAAATATTCAGTTCATAGAAATATACTGCCCGCCTAGCTCAATCGGATAGAGCGTCAGACTTTTACAGTTCGTACAAGTCGTACGTGGCGGTGATCTGAAGGCTGCGAGTTCGACCCTCGCGGTGGGCTATGACTTTTTCTTCTTTGTAAACATATCTCTGAAAAGATAGAAACGTATCTATCGCGGCTGCTTGGACAGCTTCGCCTACGATTAATATTATGTGTGAAGCCTTGTCTATCGCACAGGATGAAACTCAGTGCTTCGGCAGGGGAAACATCTCACTACTCTGATATCTTTCGCAGATACTCGACCACTACGCAATTCGGTGAGTTGTAGACTTGCACGGTATTCCTCGTGACGTGAGTGCTTTGGAATTCTTGGAGGTATCTGCCATGCCAAGTGCAAATGACTACGGAAATCTACAATACTTTGTAATACACGGCATATATGGATTGCCCGAGATACAGGAAGCTTAGGAACATATGGAATAACTCCAGTGGTTCATACACCAACCCTACGCGTACACCATCGTCAGCGAAAATACCGTCGAATAAGTGCTCATTTGAGCTCACCTGTGTACGACTTTTTTCTGCGACCCACGGTCAGTAAAGGGGGGGCGACTTGCATACTTTCATGCTTACCTGACTTGAGTATCTGATGACCTCCCGTTTCTCGAGAACGTAAAGAGTACGCTCAAGTGCATGGCTCGAGTAGCCCTGCTGGGTTACAAACTCACGGACTAAACTCTGATAACTCGTGCTCCACCCGACAGGGAGCCGTCTTCGAAGTTCCTTCTCTATTCGAGACATCTCTTCGTTGAGCTCACCGCGCGACATGCCGTCCACTGAACCAGCTGACACAGCATCCATGGTCGAAAACTTGAAGAGTCGTATTGCCTCTTCCACATGGAAATTTTGTACGACAGCGGAGAGCGTAATCTTGGCCAGAGATTCGGATATGCGAATGATAGCTTCCAGTTGGCTGAGCATCTTCGTCAATGATAGAAGTGGCTACCTTTCATTGGGGACTAACCGCACAGTAATGGGTATAGAGCTCCGTTCGTCATTGTCGCGCTCTACTTGTTGCACTTGCTTTCGCAAACTCACAAAATGGCTGCTCAGCATCTCCTGCGCTTCAGATGAAAGTCTGGGTGCGCATTTACTAAAGACAAGTTAGCAAGGTGTTGGAAGACTGAAGGTTAGGTCACTCGCCTCTTACAGTAGGCAATATACCGCCTCATTTTATCGATATCAATTTCACCCACAGCCTCGCCATTCTCATCGGTATTCTGGTTTGGCCTGTTCATATGGATGTTCATGACGTGTTTGGCGATCATCTACTAGGGTCTCAAGGCACCCAGACCATTGAACAGATTGAGAGACATACCCTGTCCCGCTGTTCATTGTGTTCATCCTTGACAATGAAGATCATGTCGAAACGTGACAAAATCGTGGTTTGGAAATCGATGTTCTGAAAGAGAAAGATCGCATCGGCAAAGTCTTAGACAGTTTACAGTTGTTATACTTCACCAGGACTCCGCCCTTCGTCATAGCGGCCCCATACAGGATTTGCCGCGGCAAGAACACTTGTCCGCGAGTTTAATACAGTGGTAATGCCAGCTTTCGCGATGGAAATGGTTTGCTGCTCCATGGCTTCGTGGATGGCAACTCTATCCTCGTCGCGCATCTTATCAAATTCGTCAATGCACACCACCCCGTTGTCGGCAAGTACCATGGCACCACCTTCTAGGTAAAATTCGCGCTGTTGAACTTCCTCAACCGAGCTGCACCTAATTGTCCCATTGAAATGACTTACAGAAATAGCATCACGTTGCACTGAAGCCGTTAAACCAGCCGCACTTGAGCCCTTGCCTGACGTATACACCGCAATCGGTGCGACCTCGAAGCGATATTAACCACGAGTTCGTAAGTTGATCATGAGTGAACTTACTTTCTCAACGAATTTCAGTAATTGACTTTTCGCTGTACCAGGGTCGCCCAACAAAAGAACGTTAATGTCTCCTCTTAGACGCATGCCATCGGGCAGGACCTTTTTAGAGCCTCCAAATAATAGACAAGTGATAGCTTTCTTGATGTCTAAATATGTCCTCAGGTCCCTTCTTCTTGTGCGCGCAATCTAACAACTGACCGAGGCAGCCGAATATACTAGGAGCCACACTCTTCGCAAACCGTTCGTAAAAGTTATCGCTCCTCGCCATTTCAGCAAATTCTTCTTCCTCCTCCGGGCTGAACTGGGTCCCGAATGGATTCGAGGCGCCCCCAGCCGATGGTGACGACATTTCAATGTGTACAAGGCGCAGATAAGGCTGTCGAAGTGCAGCAGGTCCGGCAGATTTCTGAAGAAGGATCATCGTTAGTTGAATGACACGAAAACACCGAAAACAAACGTTTCGTGAGGAATTGAACGTCGAGTAGATTCCTGTGGCAATAATGCGTGAACCGGGGACTACCCTCCCAGTGAGGTACCTATCCGCAGAAAGCAGCATATGACGAGGCATTTCTCCTACAGGAACCATATCCGGGGCCTCTTGAAGCTTGAGGGTTTGCTGATCTACGAAGGTAGACTTGTTATGATTTATCATATAAGGGTCCAATGGGCAGTCCTTCTTTTGGTTCTCTAGCTCGGGAGCGTCACAGGTTCTCGGGAGGCCGCGATCCGATCCACCCCCCAATCCACCAAGTCCACCAGGAGGATATATTATCTTAGTAGATTTACACGCCCGGCACTGAAGGTGGAGTTTGGTAGCTCGAGAAGACAGTACCGAAGCAGATATCACGATGCCAGGTATGCGGACAAGTTTGTTCATGGTGTCAGCTGTTAGATCACGGAATCGTTGCATATTCAACCCTGATTGCATCATGATCTGAATTCTGGGAATGGACTGTAGTGCAGCTTCCGCTCGATCGTCCGAGCTACTAGCAAGGGGGAATAGTATCGTCCGAGCTGCCTTCGTAGCTGCATTTTCGAACTGAGGCGGAGGGGATCAATTACCCCGCAAACCTGAAGGGTGGAGCAAGTTACCAAAGGCAGAATATCTGCAGGGCGGTCTTGCATGGCATGGGCGAGTTCATCGTTATACAAGCTGAGATGGCGGAGGTCCACCTCAAGTTGATACTGCTTCAACAACAAGTTTGCGCGCAACTTGTCTCTACACGAGAGTTCAATACGTTTCGGTAATTCGTTGCTCGCATGCACTAACCTATAGACGAATTCCTCTCCGACCCTATACTGTAACAAAAAGTCCAGAAGCAGTTTCTCTAATTGCGAGGGCGTCTCTGTAAAGGGAATGGCAGCCCTGTCCCGCACGGACACCGAGAAGACATGGTTTGCGTCGAAACCGGACATGACGAGCGAGAACGAGCGAAGAGCTTATGCTTTGCGATGCAGACGCGACAGCCGAATGAGTGAAGGGCAGGCTCTTTCGCGCCCGGCCGCAAGAAAGGGAGCGTATTCGCGGACGAGCAGCTGTGTAGTGTGTCCCGTTTAGCTCAGTTGGTAGAGCGCGTCACTAGTAATGACGAGGTCAGTCGTTCAAGTCGGCTAATGGGAACTTTCTTTTTCCATCCAGAACTGGCGGGCGGCCCCTTTCCACGGTGGCTAATAACACCATAAATATCTGTAGTTGGGAGATCTGTCCTCACCACAACATGGCATCCATGGACACCGACGAACAGTCAGTTGTATTATCCTCTAGTGCAACCTCAGGGCTTTCACTTTCGTTGTACGCCTTTTTGCTGTCCCTGGAAATGATTTGACTTGATAACGACACGTAGACACCCCTTACCCATCTTGAACATATCAGAGCATTTGACACGATTGAAGTTGCAAACGAAATCGACCGTACCTTTTGGTCGGTGACCTCTCCCGCTACTCTAACTGTTGCCTACTTTACGTAGGATCGTTATAGTTTTGGGTGCATTGCTCGGTACGCAAAATGGCCGAGAAGTGGAGATTGTCAATAGCTTCGAACTTGCTACCGAAATCGGGCGTGATGACATTGTAGATCACGGTTTCCTGATTCAAAGGAGGGATCAATGTACGTGCATGCTCGTCACCGACTGACTTCCGTTACCAATGTATCGTAGACAAGCAAGTTTTCCCCTCTCTGGAGTTCATCGGATGGTACACTGTCGCATCCACAGTCACTTCGCGACACATAGCACTCCACGAACAGGTATATTATTCATAACTTCTAGCTGAGTGATTAACACTCGTTCTACAGTTTACAGGATACTGCTCAACGCCACTTCTCCTTGTTCTCCAATGCTCTACAAGCTCATCGTCCACGACCGACGTTACGGGTCAAGCCCTTCCCTTCAGGGCGTATGAACCCTCGGTCGAAATCAGGGAGAGGAGGACAAGGTCTGTATTCATTGAAGTGCCGTTCAAGGTAGAGACTGGCGAGGCCGAGCGTATCGCTGTGGATTGGACAGCTAAGGGTGGTGGAGGAAGTACCAGTTGTAAGTGGTCAACACGGTGTAACTGGTGTCCATCTCATGTTCGCAGTGGAATCACATTTACATACACAACAGGCTGCCGTGAAAATGCTACATGAAAGAATCTTGGTGCTGGTGCAATATGTAGCAAATGCTATCGCAGGTTCAAACTCCCTTGATATTTTTGTTTACAGTGAATCATGACGCTTACTTCACTGTGTAGGTCAAGTTCCGAAAGACCATAGCGTTCTCCGATCACTTTCTGCCTTGATTGCTTCTCTTCCTGCTAGCGAGAACAACGCTTTCCGTGAAGAGTTCAATACTGTGAGTCTGGTTTCTCTCAAATTCATGTCTGTTACCTGGTACCTGCTGCCCGCTGCTTTTCTCGTGTGTCAAACGATGTGTTATCACAATATAACGCTGACTTTTTGGGTAATTTCATACAGGAATACGAGGATGTCAAGCTCACAGCTTTCCTCTCCGTACTCACTCAATCCACGAACACGCTGAACAACGTGAGTCGCCCAGAACCTTCCACCCAGATCGCACTGACCTCGGGGGTGCACAGCTTGTGGACAAACACCTGATAATGAGTGGTGGCATGCGTGATGAACGGCCCCTGATAGCTGGCCCACGAAGGCGAGTGGGAAGGCCAGGAGGTATGCCTGGAG